ACAGGTATCCTAACCCAATCATTAGTAACAGTTGCCATAATACGAATATTACATAGGTGATTATCCAAATTTTCACTATCGATGGAATTTGAACACCCAACCTACTACTTGGAGGGTTAACAACCTGACCACTTCACTAGGTCGCCACACCCTTGAATATAAATTTGTTTTTCTTATTTGCTATATTTTTTGAATTAAAACTATTAGATAAATTTTTGTCTATAACTATTATATTTATCTTTCTTTCTACTAAATTTTTTTAGATGATGCACTTACCTTAGTGTCTGATAATTTTGATGAATCAGTTTGTTCAGTTATATGCATATTATTTTTCATAATGCCAATTACTTTTTGGTATTCATCTATATTAGTATGTTTTTTGAAAAAACTACTTATAATATCCTAAATTTGAACATCAGATGGATATTAAATAGTATATATGCTATAGATAATTCATTTAATCTTATCTATTCCTATTTTTGTAAATAGTGTGTAATTTTTTTTGACTCTGAAAATTTTTTAACATAAATTTATATCAGTAATATCAGAAAGAAACAATTTAATTTCATTATACATCAATATTCTCACTGATTGGTCATTAATGTTTTTTATAGTTTTACAGTTTTCAACTTGATTTTCATATGCTTTATAGAAACAATACTAGCATAAAATTCTTCTTTTACTTGATCTTTATTGTTATATTAAATAAATCAGCTATACTTTGTGTTGTAATTTTATTAGATGCTATTAAAATTGTTTCAAGAGGAAATTCAGGAATTTGAATATCAAATAAACTATGTTTCTTTATATTATCATTTTTGGTAAAAATGAATAGCTCATATTTTAAATCTTGTTTCACTTTCTGATTATATAGAATTTTTGTTTTTTCATTATTATTATTAAAAACAACATTTACTAAGTACTTTACAGTTATTTTATTATGTTTTTCTTTCTTTATTCTGAATGAATTATGAATATTTGATACTTTAAATATTGAGCTTTTCTTTTTAAAAGATGTTAGAAGCATTGTTGAAGGCTTTTGAGTTTGAAATTTCTTTTTTCTATTTATCTTTTTCATTAGATTACTAACTATTTTTTTATTTTCCAAATCTAAGAAAAAATCTATCTTCTTTTTTTTCAATAATTTTGAATATCTTTGCCAAAATTAAGGTAAATTGATAGATAATATCCTTGGTATCTCTTCTATTGACTTGATATCAGCATTAGTTTGTTGGTCCACTACAAAATTGAATAAATCAATAGCTAATACTAAATTATCTATAGATAACCACACCTCTGATATTACTTCTTTACTATTCTGTATTTGACTATTCACAACCAAGAAAGCCTATTCCACTATAACAAGTCTAGCTTTAAACTCTGTATTCTTTTGTTCTAGTTCCTTGACTCTAGCTTAATATATCATATTCTTCTCAATAATCTGATTCAACTTTACATTCTCTATCTCAACTTTAGCAAATTTCTTTTCAAGTATAAGAATCTTATTGTTCTTCTTTCTAAGCTTAGCAATCTCAACTAAGAATTTAGTATTTAATTCTTTTAATGAATTAATAGTATGAATATTTTCAATTATTTTATAAAATACAGATATATTCAAATTTCAAATTAATAAAAAATTACATGCATATTACTTTTCATAATACTGATTACTTTTATCAAGAAAAATTTTATTAATATAGTATAAAACAAAACAAACCAGAATTAAAAATTGTATAATTATGAGAGAATGATCATATAAAATTATATAAAATTTATATAATTAGCAGACAAATATTAGAAGATTTATTAACTAAAAAATTAAAATGATATTTATTCACCATTATTTTCAATTACTAATTCATATCATCATCTAATTGATTTTACTAAACTAACTAAAACTGAATTTAGAATTTTATTTCATTTTTTTTTCATATACTGTTTTAATTCTTGCAAATTATATGACATATGTTTTTTCACATTATTTTTTATAATGCACTACAAATTTTTAATAAGGTTTAAATCAAGACTGTTTGATGACTAGACTATAAGTTCAAGAACATTTTCTAAAAGAAATGTTTTAACAAATTTGCTTGTATGTTTTGAATCATTATTTTGTTATCAATAACAATGTTTATTAAACATTTTTTTTACTTTAGGAAGGTGCTAACACACAATTTTAATATAAAATTTCTTGTTCATAATTTATGTAAAACAAAATAAATTTGATTTTCTTTTTACTGAAAAACCATCTTATACTTTAATTTTAGTATAATCTTTAGGAATTAGATAAATTGATCATTGATCTTTCTTATACCAATGCTTAAATATATTTCAAAAGAATTAAAAGATTGATTCATCTGTAAAAAAAGTTCTGTTCCAATTATCATTAAGATGAGCCTGGACCCATTTTACTATCTTTTTTTTTTGATCATTAATCAACATAAGGGTCTTTTGTGAAATATTTTTTATATATCCTATTATAACCAAATGCCTTCCAATTGTTTAATATGATATATCAGTATTTATACTTGATAGGTATGCTGCTAAAGTTCTTGTTGAAATAGACAAATCCTTTTTAATTTGTTAATTGCCTGAAAGACAACATTACTAATTTTTTTTGACCAACTATTCCCTCTAGCATGGTCAACATTTTCATGCACTTTTAACTTTTTTATATTGTTATAAATAGTAATCTGGGAAATACCGGTTTGAGTATAAAGCTCTTTTGCACTATGTACACTTTTGTTTCACAGGTATACTAAAGTTTCTTGCTAGCTTCTTTTTTTAGGTACTATCATATGGCTATTATTTGGGGGTACAAAGTTACAACACACTTGCGAATTACAAATTGCTAAAAGTAAGTATTCAACATTGCATTTTGCAGATCTTAGATCTGATTTAAATCAAACGAATTTCACATGATTTTAAGTCACGTGCAATTTCCGGTTTTTTGTCCTACACTGTACATGCGATAAATGTTCGGGACCTAGCCCATGATACATGGGTACCCTTATGTCCAGAAAATCCCGGGCTGAAGATCACTTCCGACCCTATCCGGATCCAATAAAATCACAGGATATTGTGTAACAAAACAAACGCAAAAAACATAAGAAATTGTAAAAAAAACGTAAATAACACAAAAATTTACTATGATAACTAACTTCCGACCTCTAAATAAAAGTTTTAAGAATGAAATTTTACTTATAGGATACAATTGTTAATGTTAGTTATATAGTGAATTTTTGATATACTACGACCCATATTCTTTTGGCCGGCAGCTCGGAATTTTCTGGACATAAGGATATCCATGATACATGACGTCTATACTATTGACTGCGGACTAATGTCCGCGTGAAAACTCTCGATTTTATGCGAGTTAATATACATCGAAACAATATGATAAAATAAATTCACGGAATACATCTGTAAAAGTAAACCGATTATGTATGCGAAACCGGCCACCAGGGCCAGCTTTATTGATATAAAAAAAAATAAAAAATTATATACAGTGGATTAAACGTCAGAACGTAATAGTAGTGTTATTAACATGTGTTATGAGATGATAAGCGAATTTTAAAAAATAACGATAAGCCTTCTAAGGTAGTACAGATAACGCTTATTTTTATTAACGTTAATTATTCGAGAATTTTTACATTCACATTGCCTATATATTCCATCCGCTACTTTTTTGCATGTTTTGCATGAATGATGATTGCATTCATCACAAACCCCTTTTGTCTTGCAAGCTCGAAAAAAAGATATTTTAATTAATATATTAAAAAAATGTTAACTAACCATATCTGGCTTCGAGCAAGCCCTACTTGCAATGGAAAACATGGTAATTATGGATTACATGGCTCATGGTACCGCGAGAATGGGAATCAGTTCCCTTATGATCCTGAATTAGCGAAGTTTTATTCCCAAGATAAGTTGGAATATTGTCTTACCTGCAACACTTCAAGCAATAAACTCAAGTTTGCAATTGTAGCATAGGACGAAATAGATCATGTGAAATCGATCGCCTGGAAAAATACGCAGTCGTTACTCATTGCCATGATAAATGCACTGCCGAAATAATGGACTGTGCAAATCCCGAGTTAAATGAAATTTTGGTCATACGTACAAGAATTTTTTTGACTATATCGATATTAATACTTATATATCATGCCGAGTTTCTTAACAAAAAATCAGGATAGTATAGCTTATAAAGAGCTGGAAGGTGCTTTGCTAAGGCAGAACTACTTTAAAAAACGACATATATTTAGGGGATGGAAGCATGGATGTAAAGTTTGTGATGAATGCGATCATCACTCACATCTGTATTGCAAAAGGTGTAAAAAAAGTCGCAGAAGGAATATACTGATATAAGCAATGTGAATGTGTCACAGCCTGTGCAACATAATATTTGAGCTTTCGTACTTAGCATAGGAATCTTGAAATTGCAAAGGTATTATTAGCGGACTATCTTATAAAAAGAGAATACACCGAATAAATAGCATCATTATGTAGCTTGTATTTATGATCAATAAAGCAATGGCGCGTGGAGTGGGTTATTGTAGAAATAAATATGCAGTAAAATTATAGTCGTTACATGTATCACAGGAACAAGTAATCACGCAAAATAATTTATTCTCAAACTTTCTCGCACATCAAAATTATGTATAGCCCCTTGATGATTCATCCCTGTACCGGATGCATTTACCGGAGCATAATCCTTGTCACTCTAGCGCCTACAGAGAAAAAAATCATATGACTGTAATTTCAGCCGGGGCCCCTGCCAAAATCTTACCTACAGAGCAGGGCCACGTAACAAACTTGTATAAATACGTGACAGGAAATGAACAATAAAATAATGAACGAATATTTCAAGCGCAAGTCTTCGGAATGGAATATTTCGGACTTTTTGGAAGAATGTGGTATAGAAGAATTTAAGCAGAAAATAGAAGTTTACCTTACGTCCCTCAAGACCATCGCTAATACTCAGCAAGACAAAAGGAGCGAACGAGCACAAGAGTTGCTTGATAATTATAAAAAAGCAAGTTTATTTTTGGGGGAGTTAAGAACATAAATAAAAAATTTGGTGGCGTGGCAGAAGGACCTTGAGTCCTTGTGTTATTCAAGTCTTTGAGACGAGCTACGAAGCTAATGTTGGGGCGCAGAAAATCTTTGAGATTGGCTGACGTTCAAGACTTTGAGTCAACCTGGCATTGGCCCTACTGGGGCGCAGAAAATCTTTGAGATTGGCTGACGTTCAAGACTTTGAGTCGACCTAGTAGGATGCAAAGATCAGATGGGAAATTCAGAAACATGTTAAGGATATTATTAATGATTCTTTTTTTTCCTAGAATGGCCAGATTATAAATTGGCACGAGATTGGGAGAAAAATCACAATAAACCAGCCAAAGTCGGTGTTCACTTAAACAATTCAACAATTACGGCCATCAACAGCAACATTGGGAGTGAAAGTTACATCGGTGGAACGGTAAATGCCAGAGCTTTGCTTAGGAAATTGCCTCAAAAAAGAAAATCGGCGAATGAAAGCCAGGCAGAACCGGATGAGAAGGTAACTAACTAATACCAGTATATTTCAATTATTTTGAAACAATTACTAATCTTTTTTTTTGATTCAGCCGAAAAAAAAATCCACCCGATTCACGAATAATAGCATTGATAATCACGAAATCGAAGATCATAATGAAGATGATAATGAAGCTGAAGGTGGGCAAGAAATCAACGACTTTACCGATTTTGATCTTGCCTACCAGAGTCTAAACCCAGCAAAAATGTGGACCCTTGAATCATCTGGCCGTATTGTTGAGAAGATCATTTATGAACATGCACGAACTTTAAAGCATGAATCTCATTTACATTCCTTTATTCTTAACGATGTCGATAAGAAAGCACAATCATTATTCCGAAAAGAAGAGTGGGAAGAAATATTCTCTTTAAACCTTAAAGTTGTACTGAAATTCGATAAATCAATTACTGAGCTCATGAAAAAATATTCGGTAACTAATTTACCCTCATTTCGAAAAACCATCTTCGAACCCTTTCTACCACCCGGCATCTCATACTCCAACGAGGAACATTTTTACTTAAATTATATTAACTATGCATATCGTGCAATACACACTCTTTGGGAAGAAAACGAAAACTTTACTATGAATCCATCATCAAGATTGGAAGGGTGGTACCAACACAATATATGGAGTCCCATCATTGACCCAGCGTTCCATAATTTTGAGATTGATCTTATACGTGGGGAAGGCTCAAGTATGGCATCTAGTGATAGAAAAAATGATGACACGGATTGTGAGGAAGATCGAAAGAAGATCGGAAGGAAAGGAGATGGAGTGTTTAGATTGAATGGAGATAGGTTGGAATTTGAGGCTATTGAGGCCGGAAAGAAATGGGAAGGAAAAAACGGAAAAAAATACATTACTGACAGCTTGAAACTTAGTAAAATGCTTAGGGATATGCTAGTGCAACTTGCAAAAGAATGTAATAATGATGAACAAATTGTTAGGAAATTACAGACCGTTGGGATGTTACATAGTGCCAATCGATTTCAACTCCTTACTTTGGATGCTCCAAAGGGATATATTTGTCGAATTCGACGTTTTGACTTTCACGAAGTTGCTAGTCATATAAATAATCCACCATTAGCATTTGTGCTAAAAGACATTTTAAGAGCAAAGGCAATTATTAAACAGACATTAGAATTAGTGCAAGAAAAGAAATCTGATCTTGATGATCTTGATGATTTTGATAACGATGGAAGGGAAGTTGATAGATCAGGACGGTGTACAACTCCTCCAACAATTACTTTAAACAAAACCCACAAGACTCCGGAAAAAAAACAGTACTATAGATGTAATGAGAAAACAGGATAGTTAACAATTTTAGAATCAATCATATCAATTTATTCTGCTATTTGTATGTAATAGACATTAATATTTCACTTGTATTTTTAACTTGTGTTGTATGGATATATTAACTGACTGATGCATTCACATTATCTCGAACACCTGCTTCGATCAAAGGTGATAGAAATGTGCTATGTAATATATAAAAAATCAGATTATTTACGTTGCACTTTATATAACAATTAAAAAATTTACTTTCCTTATGATCAGATGCATTAATATGTTGTATTAAGCACATAAGTGCTATTGTTCCACAATAAGATACTAACTCTGCTATAAAGCTCGATATTTAATTTTACTTTTTACTTTATGCTTTAGAATAAAGTGTTTTATATATATAACTTTTATTCTTAAACTAGATGTGAAATAGATGTTCGAAGTACTCGAATCAGAAGTTGTAGAGATATTTGATCTGTAATACAATGAATATTTTGATTTCTCAGGAAGTATTTTGTAAAAATCATGAATATTTCTTTTTATTAACTGATATTATAACTTTTGGCTTTTTTTGGCCTTACATCTGTGCTTTTATTCTTTAAAGATATACTACTTTTGTAATAATTTTTATTTGTAAATATATTATTCTAATTTTTTATTAGTGAAAAAAATAATATTTACATAGCTTATATAACCTGTAATGTGTGATAGTTGTGTTTGTGACCTAAGTATATTTAATAATAAAGTTATATATAATTAATTATTGCCAAATTTATTCTATTTTATTAGTAAAAATAACAAGACTAACATATCATTTCTTATATTATAAAAACTTCTATAACAACTTTAATATATAGGTTAAGTATTGCAGAGCAACATATATGTTACTGAAAATATGTTAGAAAGTTTGAGTAAAAACATGCCTTATGAAAAAATATATACAAAAATAATAAAGAAAATTACAAATAATATACTAAATATAATATACATATACTGAATAATAAGTTTATATAATAAATTAATACTAAATTATTATACTGAGTAGATACAGAACTATATTCAATATAGAATAAATGCTGAATAGTTATACTGAGTAGGTACGGAATCATATTTAATATAGAATGAATGCTGAATAGTTATACTAAGTAGATATAGAACTATATTTGATATAAAATGTATGCTGAATAGTTATACTAAGTAGGTATGAAACTATATTCAATACAGAATGAATGCTGAATAGTTATACTAAGTAGATATGAAACTATATTTAATACAGAATGAATTCTAAATAGTTATACTGAGTAGATATGAAACCATATTTGATACAGAATAAATGTTGAATAGTTATACTGAGTAGGTATAGAATTATTTTTAATATAAAATGAATGTTAAATAGTTATACTAAGTAAATACAAAAATAAAATTAATTATAACATGCTAAAGAGAATCCGAAATCAAGTAGTTGTTATATAATTATAATTATATACAAAATAAGAAATTACTATATATTAAATAAATATATTGAAA